AAGACAAATCCAAAGGTGAGTAAAAACCACTGGATTTCGACTGCCTCATCCGAACTGATAGATGCTAGAAGACTTATTCCGGCGAGCTCCGAATTCAATGAGGAGCGAAAGCTGCACAAAAGGAAACTTACTAAAAGTCTCCGCAAGGACCGTGAACAGTGGTGGGTGACAAAGGCGAAAGAGATGGAAAAAGCATTGGCGATAGGCAACACTAGGCAACTCTTTAGACTCATCACAGAATCGGGCGGGAGAAGGCAATTCATAAGTGAGACTATTTCTGAGAAAAATGGCTCCTTAATTAGCTCTCAGGATAGACGCCTTGAACGCTGGAAAGAACACTTTGAGGAACAATTTAACTTGCCTACAGCCACACTGAACCTCCCCGCCATCCACCACGTACCCGAATGGGATATAGACACTGGTCCGCCGTCTGTAGGTGAGGTTACAAAAGCTATCAGTAATTTGAAACGAGGCAAAGCGGCAGGACCCGACGGAATTATTCCGGAGGTGTTTAAATATGGGGGTGACATACTAGTTTGTAGATTAACTGAGGTACTAGGCAAAGTCTGGGAATCAGAGACAGTACCATCAGACTGGGGTAAGTCACTTATTATACCGATATTCAAGAAGGGAAACAAGTCCTCGTGTGATAATCATAGGGGGATCAGCCTAACGAACATAGTCTCTAAAATCCTAGGCTCAGTAATCATGCATAGACTAAGCAGAACTCGGGAGGAACAGACAAGGGAAAATCAAGCAGGCTTTAGACCAGGTAGAGGGTGCATAGATCATATCTTCACTCTTCGACAGATTCTAGAACATAGACACACTTTTCGGCGTCCAACAATTGTCATATTTCTTGACTTGAAGGCGGCCTTCGACTCCGTGGATCGAAAGGTACTATGGCAATGTCTGACTGTGAAGGGAGTGCCAAGAAAGTACATTGCACTAATCAAGGCACTCTATTCAAACTCACGTAGTCGTGTAAGGGCTTATGGGGAATTGTCATCTGAATTGGTAACAACCAGTGGTGTCCGACAGGGATGTCCACTTTCCCCATTTCTGTTTAACTTCATCATAGATATGCTAATGGAAGTATCCTTAACTGAACGTAGTGACTTAGGAATCGACTTGTTACCAGGGAATAATCTAATGGACTTAGAATATGCAGATGACATAGTCCTGTTAGGGGAGGATGCTGACAAAATGCAGAGTCTTCTGAACACCTTGAGCAGCAATCTTCGTATGTTTGGCATGCGATTCGCCCCTGCAAAATGTAAGATGCTGCTACAGGACTGGACACGTCAACCCCTAACTTAGTGATAGGGAGTGAAGTGATAGAACATGTTGACCACTTCACCTACTTGGGAAGTTGTATTAGCACCAACGGACTGATTGGCGATGAAATCTCAGCACGGATCCGAAAAGCTCGAGCTGCTTTCGCTGACTTACACCATCTCTGGCGTAGGCGTGACATCCGGTTATCAACCAAGGGACGTGTGTACTGCTCATCAGTTCGCTCCGTCCTTCTCTATGGCTCTGAAACATGGCCAATACGCGTTGAAGACATGAAAAGGTTGACTGCTTTCGATCATAGATGTCTGCGATCTCTGTCTCACGTTAGGTGGTTTCACAAGATAAGTAATGTTGACGTTAGGCGTAGAGTGTTGGGCAAAGAGGGAAAATCAATCGACGAGGCTATAAAGTTACATAGACTAAGATGGCTAGGTCACGTGCTGCGCATGCCTAACCACCGCCTCCCCCGACGGGCATTGTTAGCTGATATAGGTTCAGGTTGGAAAAGAGCCAGTGGTGGCCAAACAAAAACATGGCATCAATCCATGAAATCCTTGACAGTTAAACTGAGTCAGGTAGGGAGATGCAGACTCCCGGGTTGGGGCCCTCGGGACTCTAGGAATCAATGGCTGGAGACAATAGGTGACATGGCTCAAAATCGTTGTCAATGGCGCAGATGTATTCAGTCTCTGTAATCTTTCATATTCCTTTCTACCATTACCCATTCTGTTTCACTCTTATACTTGTCAAACTCTATTGATTCTCTTCACTCATCTTCTTGTCTACCTCTGTGTGCTATTTGGAACGTGGCAACTCGAACTGCTGCACTTCGGTGCCAAGTTCTATGTTGAATCCAGACAGACAGACTGCACGAAGCGTATGAGGTTCACTCTTCTAAAATTATGTAGTTGATGCACTGTACAAGTATTAAGTGACTTGGTTCATAGTGAGGTTGCTAAATATCAAGCATACAATGACTAATTTACTTCCAACTTATACACAGTCCGAAGTAGCACCACTAATCGGCGAATATCATGCGATATCTAACTAGGACAGTAGAATAAAGTAAGAGGTCATTTTGTAATCTAACTTAAAATTAATGAAAACCCTGCAAATCAGCCCTCGAAAATAAGCCCTATCAGTTCATTAAATGCTGACAACATATACTAGTGAACGACCTAAGCCATAACACCATTCAGGATGAACGCATAAAACGTGATATGAACTAAGAAATCAGTAAATTATAAGTAATTCGGACAATCATCAATTATACAAACAGGTCGATATGACAGCAGATTAGTTATAGACATGCTTCGTTGTTGATTTAAGAATATTAGCTTGATATAGAAATTTTTAGTGACAGAGATTTATGGTTGAACATATTTTAACATCTTGTAAAGGATCCTTACATATTGATGAATTACTTTCGAAATTTACGGATAGTATTGTATTAGTAAATAATTCCCCAAAATTATAAGATTACAGATTTCATCATCCAACATTGTTTGCTTAAGCTGTCAAGCATCCTTCGCTACTGACACGCTCCTGTCTTATTTTAGGTTGTTCACCCACGATCTCTAGTTATCCAAAGCAAGATTCACTGCTCATGAGTACCGACCCCAACACAGACTTCGTATTTTGGATGATCTTATTGTTGTACTGTCTTTGCTTAATAAATGTTCTCTGGCTTAGGTCGAAAAAGTACACTGGGAAGTTGAAGGATATGTATGTATAATCGTATCATTCGAGTTCGTCAAAAATATTCGACTCCTAAAATACCTTATGATCATAATTTATCGACTCTTATCAACTTTATACAACCTGAAAAAATTAAAATATATGTTTAGAAATCGAACATTGCGGCAGCATGCAAATCCATATCATCAGTTTGTTTCTTATACAGACTGCACAGTGGAACACTACAATTTACTACAAGACGTTTAGAACACAATCTTTTGTCTACAAATGTATCGCATGTGATATGATATGACACTCAGCATACAACCACTTCACTTTGTGATCTAAATAATAAACGAATAACATTTATGTTATTAGATGGTTGAAGGTAATCGGTAGGAAGCCTTGGACCTAGGTTTCGTGCTTTATGCTGACTGTCTCCAACCAACTAGTAACAACAATCCTGAGTGTACGGTGATGGCGAGCCACCTAACATGGCGGCCACATCGCATGCTTGGCTGATAGAATTCAGTCTGCAGTAAACAAAGGACTAGACACATGACACTTGTGCCCAATCAAAGGAATAACCTTTCCACCAAAATACATAACTATGTAATTATATTATTGCCAGCTAGATAGTTACAATCAGTTTCTTTACACATACCATGCTTTCACTTAACTACTCACCATGAGAAAAATTGTTATTTTCAGCGCTCATCACTTTATGAAAACTTCAATCCATGTAAAGTGAGGATGGGTGGGTAACTCCAAATTACCCTATGTTCGATACACAGAGTCATAGAGAAATACTGAGAGGTAAATATAAGAACCCAGTAGTCGAATCTCTCTGATATAACATGATGTCTGGACTTCTCATATTTTTACGCGCATTCAGTGTTTGGTGGTATTTCACATATCTCACATGTACGGCGTAAAATTGCATTTATGAGGTACTGCCCACGTCTAACTACTATACAACACAACGCTAATACTTGTAATCCTCATGACAGTCTTAGTCAAATTCAAGTGTGTTGGCACACTAAGAGCTAAAATCTTTCAATTATACGAACTATAGCGGCATTCCCAAACCCTTATGACACATATGGCGATATACTAAGGACTACACCCTGATGAGATTTCACATGACCAAAATCATGTACACCTACTGTAAGATAAATGCTTCATTCCGTAGTGAGTGCAATTAGTGTAAGAGTATAGGGACACTTTCTAAGAAACTGGACACTGAGCAACACAAGAGCATAATAAACCACGGGGTTATCCAGATTACTTATGCAGTGGCCTAACTTACGCTCTTTTTAGAGAATTTAGACTGCTTGAAATAGGACATGGATCTATTAGTGACTATCCACTAGTGAATTTGAAAAATACCTACCGACGCGTCACAAACAGCCAGTAATCACTTGCTAAATTGAATTATGCGAACTAAATGAGTCTGCTCAAAACATACCACCCCTCAGGACAGCAGTACACTAACTACATCAGGTGTCAAGATTTGCATACACCAATTTACAGCTATATTTACGGGTAGTTAGCGACCAGAAACATCCGCCCATTCTGTGATGCTTCTAAATAGGACATCCAGACAATAATTCAGACACGAAATTAGCAATAATGTACCACCAGTGGTGCTTATTTCGGCGAGGACAACTATCGCAATATTGCATGCCGCAATCAAACACAACACCACGTAGTCAGTCAATGAAATTAATTACTTACTGCATAAAACAACGCTTTTATGTAGGAATACTACTTAAGGTGACTCTGCACTAGACACTTCGCCACATAACTGCTTGGCAATGAGTCGATTTTGAAAAAATTTCATGACAATTACCTAGAGCGATAACCAGAACCAAAAATACAAGCACATCGGGAGGACTTTTAAAGGCAGTCTACGGCTGACGATTACGCTGAGGAAAAGCATTCCGACCGAGAGAACTTACTGGAAACCCTATCACTAACAAGTCAACATAAAAACCAACGCGGTAAAAAAACAAAACAAAACGTTTATGCAGAACACATTGTAATTAAATCAAACATAAAGATCCATTAGGATTACTGACCACCTCGGAGACGAAGCACCAGATGCAATGTTGACTCTTTCTGGATGTTGTAATCGGACAGAGTACGACCATCTTCCAACTGCTTACCAGCAAAAATCAAACGTTGTTGGTCTGGAGGAATACCTTCCTTGTCTTGGATCTTCGCCTTCACATTCTCGATCGTATCACTAGGCTCCACCTCCAACGTGATCGTCTTACCAGTCAATGTCTTCACGAAGATCTGCATACCACCACGCAGACGGAGAACCAGATGCAATGTTGACTCTTTCTGGATGTTGTAATCGGACAGAGTACGACCATCTTCCAACTGCTTACCAGCAAAAATCAAACGTTGTTGGTCTGGAGGAATACCTTCCTTGTCTTGGATCTTCGCCTTCACATTCTCGATCGTATCACTAGGCTCAACCTCCAACGTGATCGTCTTACCAGTCAATGTCTTCACGAAGATCTGCATACCACCACGCAGACGGAGAACCAGATGCAATGTTGACTCTTTCTGGATGTTGTAATCGGACAGAGTACGACCATCTTCCAACTGTTTACCAGCGAAAATCAAACGTTGTTGGTCTGGAGGAATACCTTCCTTGTCTTGGATCTTCGCCTTCACATTCTCGATCGTATCACTAGGCTCAACCTCCAAAGTAATAGTCTTTCCTGTTAATGTCTTGACAAATATCTGCATCTCCAATAGTAAACAAAGGCTGCTAGATTTCAAATATGGTCTCCTATGTCGATTGATCTGAATATATACTGATAAGTTTAGGTTACTTCCTTTTAGGACATTAAAACAAACAAACAGTCAAACAAGCGTTGGCTGTTTGTATCTTTTATTTATTGCAGTCTTACTGTTTCCTGAAAAGTCTGTATAACATGAGTACGTCTCTAGCATCCTCAAGCTCTCTTTTAACCCCTAAATTATCTACATGTGGAACCGTAGGTAGTTCAGTTAACACAGGTTCCAATATCCAATATTATTTTACAAGGTTATGTAAGTCGATTTGATTTCTTGATGCGCGCTTCTTGATTGTGAGGTTAAAGTTCCTGGTCTTCGTTAACTTCTGCGTAGCTCGTCCCACCTCTCGACTGTCGTAGCTATGGTTGACAACAAAAGGAATAATGTTGGAATTAGTTATATGTTGTGTGTTGTATACAGTGTGTTAAAACTGTGTTGCTAATGTGAATAGAGTTGATCATTTTACCATTTAGTCCTGTGGTGTCGTCGAAAAAAGAAAAGAGACAACAATAACAGATAGAATTATTGTGTTATTCAGAGTGAGAGACAGAAAATAAGTATAGAAAAAGTAAAAACAGACAGCCAATCATATCTGAAGTATATACACATATGCACATATATGTAAAGAATATCAGTAATAATTATAAGCGCAAGTGTAGTAGTTGGAGTAGTCAGGCGAGTGAAACAACAGAGAATGTGAAGAAGTAAAGCAATGTTTGGATGTCTAACACTTAATAGTGTATGAAATTTTATGGGGATAGACGATTTGGATGCAGTCATTGTGCTTCTGCATGATGGTTCAGCATTCTGTCAAAGCTGTCCAGAGACGGTGCCGTAGCGACATTTGCAGTTAAGGAATTTCATGGACGGCGAACTGGCAGTCAAAAGAAGTGGGAGCGCACCTTTGTTTTTGCCCTCTGGTAAGCTATCCTCCTGGGACTTCCACCAGGAAGCCCATCTGATGCTCAATGTCAGAGCACCTTTTTGTTATCATGTGGGCAGTAACCGAGTCCCCTCTAAGCCTACGGTAACCAGGTGTGAATAGGTCTAATTTCTTAAGCCGTTCATGATTAGTTGGATTTGGAGACCCACAACACGATTTGTCAACCGATTTGGACCCATTTAAAAAATGCTCGTGTCTATCCTAAGAAGTGAGGGTGCAGCGATATTCTGCACACTGATATATATGGTATGTAACACGGAAACTTGTAAATATAGTTAAAGAATAAGCGGTCAATTCGTGGTTGTTTACTCAAACCCAACTCTATATTTTTCGCCGGAGTCATCAATACTGCAGTCATCGTTTCATCGTTCGCTGTTCGTTGGAAGACAGAGAAACACTATCAGAAATTTTGTGTACAACAACCTAATGGTTGGCTCTGTATTGGTGCAAGAATAAACGGTTCTTTAGTCACCAACTTGTGTCTTGGTATTTTTGCGTTGGTTATTGAGCATAATTCCTGAAAGTCTTCCAAGGACAGTGTGAAGTCCAGTGTGTTTAGTCCTGATTATTCGCATGAAATCGTATGGTTTTTCTGATACACTATCTCATTACCGTGCGAGGCTCACATAATACTCAAATAATAAGCACTTTGTTTTATCAATTCTGTGGTGATTTTTGATCAGCTTTATGCATATTGGTCAAGTATAACCGACATAGGCTCACAAATCACTGCTACAGCATAGAAGATAAAGACAGACAAAGAGAATGTACCAGCTGCCCACGATCAAGAGATAAGCATTACTGTTGTAGCAGCAGAGGTAACCGGAGATGGATTAAACAGACATTTCTTAGCAACGAGACGTTTACCAGATAAACCTAAAAGTTAGACTTCTCGCAGTAGCTTACAAGTGTATTCAGCGCTGATGCTTGTTCTTCTAGCATATTTGCCCATTATGTTACGTAAACCGTAATCTAGCCAGATTTTCACAATGAATCGCTAGATAATTTTAGCCTTAGCCCATCTGGAGGGAAGGGGTGATACAGTCCACAGATATGAATAGTTTCTGGGATCCAAAAAACGTCGCCCACTATTTTGAAGGGTGCATTCTCGACATGAAAAACAATCTGCAGCCATTAAATCTTTGCGCGACACGGTGGGCATAAATAATGCGGGAGCTGATAAAAGTCCCGAACTGAAACTGCGGGAAAAATGATGCGCGACAAAGCTGATTCACGATTGTCAAAATTACTCTAAATCCTCAAGAGCGAATCAAACTACCACTGTCAAAGTCCAGGTCCTACTACGATAAACCTCCAGCTGTTCCTGGAAGACGTTCATGAAACATGTGTAATAGCCAACGCAAAAAACCAGAACACAGATTGGCGACTCGAGAATCCTTTATTCTTACCCCAGTATGTAACCAGAAATAAGGCTATTATACACCACGTCTAAGAAAAAATGTTATAACAATAAATCACAATAATACTTCTGATAGTCTCCTCTATTCAATGAACCGCGATAGATGAAACGATCACTGCAGTATTGATGACTCCCGCGAAAAATATAAGTATATATAACTAATACACGTTGACTTGGATGCCAGTGCGAGAACCTGGGTCACACTGACAAAGCTGAAATGAAAAACAAACAGAAAAGCCAACACACCACAGACATACACACAGCAAATCACACTCGTCGGCGACCACCTACGTCTTCTACGTAAGGGCATCCTCTTGACATCTTGCAACACAATCGCCACTTGCTAGAATGACTCTTGCAGAACGCAACGTGACCATAGCAGCACCTCATGATACTCTTCGCACATCCTTTTATCTACTCAGTACCAATTACCACTGCAATTGCTTGTCACTCATTCTGCCTGAGTTCTAATACCCGTGACGTATGCAAGCCTCAGTCGTCTAAACTCTCGCTCCCCGGCGTGTGGGACCACAGCCTAAATAGAAACATTCATTCTCAATCATTGATTCCACAATTAATCCTTATTTCCATGTGCATGTCATTCTCAGCATTAGCATCCCCAGCGTATACGACCCATCTGATGTCTTTAACATCAATCAATTCATTCACGGATGTAGAAGACTCGAAACAACTTCAGAAGTAAGCACGACGAAAATTTTAACAAGATTATGCAATAACAACAAGTAAACACAGTGAATCAAAAAACACCAATTGACATGACACACAACATATATATACAAACGGTACACATAACCTCTCGGATCACATCTCCATGTAATTCCTTTGAAGAATCGCAGGACTTACACCAGTACTCCTGCAAACCTTCTCAGGTTGCCGATTGTAAGTTGAAGAATGTCCGGACACAAACAAGATTAACCAACAATTACATTAATTGGTACCCACTCAATTACCTAGCACAAATATATGTACAATCAAATGTTGCGGATTCTGCCTTGGCGAGCCACCTTTGAAGAACTGTAGGACATACAGCAGTACACCTACAACCCTTCTCAGGTTGACGCTCTAGGTTGGAAAATCGTCGCAGAGTTCATTTCCTGACTTCCACCTATCATGTATATCCTCTGAACGGTGATATGCCCATGTCATTGTATTGTAGAATGTAGATGACTAACAAACATACGACGTATCTGACCAACCAAGCGTAGGTACACAGTAATTTACACCAAAGATAATAGCATTCAAATAGTAACTTGAAACTTGAAATGCCTTTATTCGCGCAAGTCAGTGTAACAATTACCCTCTCGTACACACTTGGCTTTTCCCCACTAAACTGACCATTCACTTTTGCCCCCTCGAACGAACCGATACTAGCATAGTCATAGCATAAGACACCTGAGTTCATGGACGTCCCTTTCATTGTGGATGACAACACCAATGACGACTGAGTGACACAAGTTGATTAACTTAGTGGCGCATCAGAAGCTGTTGTTTTTCGACCTTTAGAAAGTTGTCTAACCGTAGGATTACCACCACTGCTCTCTTATATTATTAGCTGCAGTTTAGCATTAACATCTGTTGATAGGTGGGCTACACGCTGATCATTTACACTGATGGTCTCATGAGTATTCATACCTTCTACTATCGCATCTGCTCTTAAATCTACTTCACATTCAAGTTGTACAGAACCTTTGTCTGACTCAGTAGTAGTAGGCATTCCACTCGTCTCATCATGCTCAGCCAAAGACAAAAGTGGACTACCATGATCATTGTCACAAATATCCACTTTACCGCCGCTTATATGGTCGACCTCATTTTCAACCTCTTTCATAACAGCAGTAGATGACTTGGATTCTTTCCCATATATCCTTAGAGGTTTTATACCTTCACTCTGACTAGTAATACTTTGTAAACTTGTGGAGTCAGAACTGGACTCTGAAACTGTAACTCTCTTCTCTGCACAACTCGTGGTGCCGTCTATTACACGCCACTCAACAATGGCTTACCAGTTGCAACTACAGGCTTTTTCACCGCACTACTATCCTCACACAATTCGGAGTCAGAACTTGATGACTCTCACTTCACACTTTTTTTTGATTTTTTTTGATTTACTGCTTGATTCCACACTGTATTTTTGGTGCAAGTATGGAATTTTCAGCATGTGATATCGGTAGCCCAAATTTTGCAGGCCGACCATAGATATCAGGTGTGCGTCGGCGTGGGCTCGAACCCCGGACCATGTGCATGGTCGGCGAGAGTCCTAACCACTGTGCCACCGACACTTAGCTTACTATTAAACTTGGTCACTGATTCACAGTTCGCCTTTGTATGCACTTGTTGTAAACGTGTAAATCACAACCGTGTTTGTCTCGCAGCTTGTAACCTATCTGTTGGGGATGTACCACGAAAGCTATTACACACACTAAGTTTATATGGATTACCAGACACCATAAAGCTTTCTCGATATCCACTTCTCTGAGACCCTTTCGTCATAAATGATTGCGTTTTGCTCTCAGACTGCTCTATTCTACGGGTGGGATGCAATATACTGGCAAACTTGCTCATGGCTTGATTGACACTGTCTTTTACCAGTTTCAGAATATCATCAAAATTCGGCTCAATACCTTCATCCTCTATACGAGAGCTTATCTTCATCCATTTCCTTTGCAGTCGAGTAGGTAGGCGTCTCGCTATTACCTCTAGGACGGAACTTGAGTTCAGACCGCTCATGCAATTCATCGAAATCAACGTATTCTTGTAAGTCATCAGATTATCCAGAAACTCATTGAGTGCCTTGAAGTCATCTCGTAATTGACTACCATTAGCTTTAACAGCCTCAAATACTTTCCTTACAATCACTGAAGTTCTTCCAAACCTTTGACGCAGGATACGCATCGCCTCAGTACATCCTTCGTTTGGAGGCATAACCGTACAGCAATGTATGGCTCTTGCAGCAACACCAGTGCAGTACCTCAACAAATACATTAACTTCATTTCGTCATTTATTGCGAACCCACTCAAAGTGACTTCAAGCTCCTTTACAAAGTGTGGATAGTCAGCTGAGTTTCCGTCAAAACACCGAGGCTCAAATTTAGAAATTTTAAAATTTCTATTATCCCTAGACGGCGAAACATGGATATCAGTCTTATCATGCTTAGCATCACACACATCATTACATATAACAGGCAACTCATCATTACTTACTTTCCTGTCTGCTTCCAAAACACTTTGTCTTTTCTTTGACCCAGGCATTATTGAACTTGACCAAAAGATCCAGAAAAGTTCCAAATAACACTTGTCCAAAGAAGACTTGCAGACGCGAGGAAAGACGAGTTGCCAACAAATAAGAGGAATAATTCCAGGAGAATTATCAGATACTGTCTATGTTCAGGTCTAACCACACTGGACTTCACACTGTCCTTGGAAGACTTTCAGGAATTATGCTCAATAACCAACGCAAAAATACCAAGACACAAGTTGGTGACTAAAGAACCGTTTATTCTTGCACCAATACAGAGCCAACCATTAGGTTGTTGTACACAAAATTTCTGATAGTGTTTCTCTGTCTTCCAACGAACAGCGAACGATGAAACGATGACTGCAGTATTGATGACTCCGGCGAAAAATATAGAGTTGGGTTTGAGTAAACAACCATGAATTGATCGTTCAGTCTTCAACTGCATTTACATTTCATGTGTTACCTACCAGTAATCATAGTTATGAGTCTCTTTTTTATGTTCTGTCAAAGCTAATGCTTTATCCTTTGTAGTTGTAATATATAAATAACATATGTTCTATAATACCCATTCAGCATTCTCAGATAAATATCCTCATAAGTTTCCTGGTTGTGCTACCGAAACCTATGGATATTTTATTCAAAGTGACTTTTATTTCAGCCTGACGTTTCGAGTTAATTGCAAGCGATGTAACGGTTTCAACATTTTTTACGCAAGTTTCCAGTGCCACTTCTGACCATGTGAAGTCACTTCACGTTTCTTTCACTTTTTGAGAATCAATACCTGGATCACCTTCAGTGCTCGGTTGACACACCTCGTGTCGACATGTGCTTCTGCCAGAACTTATTGATGATGGGGAGGGGGAAATATGTAGACAAAAAGCTAAGCATAGTATGTATTTTTACTACGACAACATCAACAAAATTTGCTTTGAATCCTGCGAATTTGGTTTTATTTGCATTATGATACCTCCTCATTTTCCCCTAATTTTATTCCTCCATTGGAGGTTGCTGTGAAAGGGAACATGATTATAGTTAGGAAATATGTGCATGAATTTTGTCCACTGCAGATCGGGCCAAGCATGAGGAGAGTTGACTTACACCCCATAGAGATTAGGTGTTGCTTTTAGGTGATTCGCGCTTCTTACTTTGACGGTGTATTTCTGATTTTCCAAAGAAAACAGCCAAAACATAGCTCAGAATGACAAACATTTTCGATGAAGCAGTTTTTAAAATATTTGCCTCTAGATATTTTACAGGAGACAAAAACTTAACAGATATTTTTAATGTTTGCCATATTTTTGTGGAAAACAGGATTTTTTGTTCCAGATTGAACATCATCTGCAGAACGCTTTCAGTGGACGTTGAGTCCAAGCTTATCAGGTCACGATGCAAGCCTCTAGACAACTTAGCCACTAGTACCCGGCTCAAAGGGCCCTGGATCCTAACCTCTACCAGTTCGTGAGTTTAGCACGACCACCAGCCAGTGTCATAGGCGAGTATTTGTCCTCACACCTGACCTAGTGAACCCCACTGATTACTTCTCACACAACACAAAAATAACTTGAAACGAATTAAATCCCGATAAACTAGTGACAAAACAGCTGTCCACTACTCCCTGATGGCTTCAAGAGGTTCTCGCGTGGCTCTTTTCGAAACTTCTTAATATGGTGTACTAAGTGATGGTTTTATTTTTTTATATTTCGCCCACATATGTGAGTAGGAATCACAGTCTTTGGGGCACATACCGCCACTGGTTGTTTGCATGGTGAAATCAGCCTTAAGTTAACCAGTTATAGCCGAAGTCTGTCAGCATACGTATCCCTGTAGCCAGCTGTAGGATGAATAAACTCTTCGGGAAGTCTAAGAGTGATTCCGTTTATCATATCTTTTGCTGAGCACTGGTTCTCATGGATGTTTGAGTACTAAGAAGTTAGTATGAGACAACAAAATGAAAGCGTTCTTACGAGTCGATCACGAATTGATAGCAGTTAGAGAACCACTGAAAACCAGGGAGTACTGGACTGCTGTTTCATCCTAGTTTGGGAACCATCGCCAGTACGCAATCACGGGGATTCGAACCCAGCACCTTCCGGTTACAAGGCAGGCTCGTGTATCATTCAGCCACCGGGACCCGATTCAATCCGTGATCAACTCGTAAAAACATAGCTAACCCTTACAAACCAAACTATAGAAAGCGTTCTGTTTAATTTACGGATATTCCGGGATAACAACTAGTTAGGCTGCTTGAATGATTTCGAACTCGTTTCCAGTTGGTTCCGAGTAGGTTCAACACTCACGATTGATGTGTGGCTATCAGTTCTACTAGTACTGTGCATATTATGCACTAAAGCGTCTACCTGCTTAGCAGCGGATTTTTCAAAGTCAGGCCCCACAAATGATGCATAAGAAAGTGTGATGAACAAAAACAAGCCAAAGATATCGTACGAATAAATATGGAAAATGTGAAAAAACTCAGTGCAGACAAGAAAATCTGATTTGGGGCTAACTAATATGAAACAAAAGCCAAATCACGAACTTATCCAGTCAAGCGATTTAGTAACTAATTCTCGTATCAAAATGACTAATAAAACTACTATTCGACATAGTGTATCAGTTAAGAAAACATCCGCCATATTAAAATATGTATTCGATGGGCGTGCTTTTGTGCAAGGCTAGCGAAGAAACCCAGACGAACACACAGAGTATTTATGGTTCAATACCATTCCGTAGAGAGAATCTACCGCAAAGAAAATAATGAAACCATTGTTTCTAATTGGCCACTCCTTTCGTCTCTCCTTATTTATCATCCGCTTATCGCTTACTGAGTAACCTTATCGCTCACAGTACGTGCTGGAAAACAGCCCATGGGATATAGGGTTTTTTAAATACCTAGTCACCACAACGACCCCCAAACTTGTGGTCAATTCTACGGACAGAGTTATGTAAACGGTGGAGTCTTCTATCTGCTTAAGACATGTTTGACCTCGCCAATGTTAGTTGGGCTGAGCCTGAATTGAATTTTGAATGAATGAAAGGTCAAAATTGAAATGAAATTGCGGCAGTTTGTATTTTGCGCTACACTGGAATGACAAGCCGTGTTTAGTACGATGGTCCAGTCGTCTTCTTGGGTGGATCTCTGGGTAAATATTATACCTCTTTTTTTCCTGACTTTCATCTCTGCGCTTTGTATGCGAAATTACACTTTAAATTTGAAAGATGCCTGTTCATGTCTTATTATTCTTAAACAATAGTTTTGGCAATATGTATTCTTTAACGGGAAAAGTAACTGTTAAATTTACTCCACATAACAGTTTGAATGTTTATTTTGCACCATAAAAATAGAAGACTAGAATAGGTAGCCTGTAAACTGAAAAGACAGGAGTATCCTTGATGGGTTACTTCAAAATTACGTATTTGTATCTAACTTGCTGTCCCCTAACTTCGCATCATGTCTCCGAATTGCCATATATTGCCTAAAAGGTGGTTGTTTGATAAAAAGTTTCTTAACAATGTTTTTAACCAGTAAACATTCTCCAGACTTTTTGCAACTAAAATTGGTAAGTCGAGTTTAGAGATCCATTGAAAAAGAAATTTGACATCCATTATATTGCTAATAGCTTTTTAGCCTCTTGGTCAAATCCCTAGACTAAGTAGTTTATTCGAGTCCATCATAATAGGCTCATAAGCTATGTAAGCATAATGTTAGGTGACATTTGCTTTAGTCCAAATAATAGTTAATATAAAATTATAGTGAAATAATTTGATTGTATGGAAACCTTTGGAACAATACAGCAACTGACTAATAGTAGTGCCATTTGTTTCAAATGCAATAAGTCCTTTAAGGATTGTTACTGCATTTTCGTTTTTATTTTATTGGTTATTTGTGATAAGTTATGTTCCTACCCTTATCTTTCGTGTTTAAAGCCGCCTAATTAGTGGAGTGTGTTAGATGAACTATCACCTAAATATTTTCAGCCAATGTTTGTATGGTCTCTGCTTTTAGTCCTAAGGTTACAGAAATCGTATGCTTTTTAACTGACAACAGATTTCCGTATATATATAGTTGTGGGTGCAGTAGATATGTTCCTTCTAAAAGTTGATTTCATTCAATGAATTCCATAACAGCTATCGTCTGAAGTGATTAAAGTATCAAAATTTGGATTATGCTCAAACGAACTTGCTGACTTCTAATCTATGTGTTCTTGGTTGCCTTCTAATTGCAATCGAAATGCATTCATATGGATTTATAACGTCTCTTATAAAGTTTTCTGTGACCATCGAAACTGACAAATAAAACTATTCAAAAGGTAGTTGTTTTGTCTTTCCTTTTTCCCTTAAAAATCAGTGACATTTTATGCTTCACTTGTCGTGTTCTGATTTCTCATCTTTCCACTTTATTATACTTCTCTACAGTTCCTACTTAATTTTCAGATTATGCTTAAATAAATTTTAGTGAGGGAGAAAAGCATGTAGGGATAGAAATAATTGTGATTTCCCATTTCACTTTTAACAAATTGTGTCAAGGTGGCTTTCTTGATTATTCCAAACTTCATCGGAGAATTCTTCAGAATAATTTCATATCCCGCTTATAACTTCAGGCCACATCATAGTCCTGTCACAAATTACTATGGGTAGAATGATTTTGACAACCAATTATAAAAAACAGTCCAGAAGATTAATCACTTTACAGTATATGCTTAACCATTGGTGTCAATTCAACATCAATTTAACCAAAAGCATAAACTTGTAAACTCTTTACGATTCTAGATTACCTAATAGACTTTATTTAGGCTCATGCAGACGAAATAACTCAATAATTGTTCAAGTAAGACTGTCAGTTCCATCGTAATGAAACTGAAAACATTTTCTGACGTGTCATTCTGTACTTAGATGTAAATACGTTTAAGTAATTCCACTTTCCAGTTAATATGTTTAGAAAAGTATATTTGGTGATGTCTGTATTTTTTAAATTCTAAAATGGAGTGTTCTAGCTGATTGCACAACTAATGTTAAATCTGTATGTAAAATTCAGAGATTTAGTTATATAAATATCTTCGATTAAAGTGGTTTAGTTTTTGATTGCATCGAGTTGCTGGTATAGTGGAGTATCTTTTCTTAAGCATTTGAGAATTTTATGGAGAGTAAAAATGCGATCACTTTATGATGAAATTAAAGCAAGGTGTTTCATTTTTTTTTTCAAACTTTCACTAAAAATTAGCCATTAATTTAGTATTCTCAAAGACTTTTTACATTCATTGCATCTCTGCTGTGGACGATTGAATTCGTAACTTCAAGTTAGTAGCTATTTAGAATTATCAGCTGTATAGGAAACAGTGGGGATCTCACTTACTAGAAGTACTTTGTTGTCACTGTCATATAACAGTGTAAAAATTAGTTCAGCCCGGTAGCTATTATTCCGACTTCGTTGTCGGGTTTGTGTATCTCAATTACCTGACAAGGTACACTGGCTAGAGTGACTGTTTCTGGGATATCCTACCATGACAGAAAGGTTGTTTATTTATTGAGTATACTAAAACCATTTCCCAGCATAGTTTAAATCGTGTAAAATATGTTTGGGTCGTAATGCTATCGAGTAGGATTGTAACTGCAATAACCCGTTCACCTTACACCACCAGCAAGCCGTCTAAAATGCCTTCAGCACTGGAATGAGGCGTTGGAAAGTTCGACCCCAAAAGTTCTATATCCTGTCGTGGTCCCTGGCTGGGTGAGTAGATGTTCACGTGGAAACAACTCCATAGACCAGTCCAAACAGACTGTTTTGCTTCCCAGGTTGGACACATGTTACCCTCATCAAGCTATTGCCTTCCTCGCCGAGTCATGTAAGTCGACATTAGGATTAGGTTGCAAAAGTTAGGAGTGAATAAACGAAGACACGATATCAATCAATGAATTCTTCGGCTATTGGTGGACTAGTGGTAGACTACCTGGTTAGGGTTCTCGAGACTAAGAACTAATGCCATGTACAAACTAATCTAACTTAGCAACCGATATTCCTCATTATAACTGGGACATTTTTAAGTCATGTCAGAGAAATACACCCCGTTTAATGTGTTTTCATGCATTTTCATGTAAATTTACGTCATTTTTTGTGCGAAAATTCCTCATTTTTATGACTGGTCGTCTGAAAGTCACTTGTGCGTTCTCATCCCTTGGGACACTATTATTAAACTTTGCCAAAGAGTGAATGCATTGGTTCCATTGTGAACAACTTCAAGCCATATCACCAGTATCCCCCAGCCATTGGTTCTTAGCATCTCGAAGATCCTTAACAGTCAGCCTCCATCTTCTTACATGAATCTAAATAACTGTCAAAGACTCTATGGAGTAATGTATGAGTAGTTACTGTCTAAATGATGAAAGATGTTGAATCAATAACTGTCTCCTGTTATATATATATATATATATATATATATATATTGGGTCCCAGTGGCTCAATGGTCTACGGGCTCACCTTGTAACCAGAAGGTCCTGGTTTCGAACCTCGGTGGGTTTCCCAAAATAGGGCGAAACAGCTGTCCAGTATTCACAGGTTTTCCAATAGTTCTCTAACTGATGTCAGCTCATGGTGAAATCCTCCATCCAGTCAAACAAAATCCCTACAAAACCATTATTTGAAAAAATATATATATTTATGTATTAAATAAACTCCGTAAAGGAGATAATTGATGAGTAACCTTTGTTTTTTTTTAATCTTTTACAGGATAGAGCTAGTGAATTCATAAAATATCATGATAATGGAATAAATATTCATGAGAGATTATATAAATTTTTAATTGAATTTGCAAAATTACAAAAAGAAGCATTTATTGCACAAAAGTAGGTTAACATTGTCTGTGTCTATAATTATTGTTATTAATAATTTTATTAAATTAAATTAATTATTTTTTCGTTTTTCTTTTTCTTTAGACGATTATGTGAAAAACATTTAAATGATGCACAAAAATATTTTGGTGTTTCAAATAGTTATGTTTCATTTTTCAATGAACTTGTACAAATTGTTCAACATATTATAGATGCTGAAAATTTAATTTCATGCTCATTTGAAATACATGCTAGTAATGAAGGGAAATCAGTTATCGAAGATGAACGTAGACAGTTTAAACGATGGAAAAGAGAAAGGTAATGAATGTTGTATGCCCTCTATTTTTTGTTGTGGTTTTTTTTGTTGTTGTTGCTTTTCTATACATCTTTATTCGAACAAGGCATATAAGCGAGCAGTGTTGTTTAATTGAATTATAGATTTTCTCGTCGATTGATTCGACCGAAGTGCTCGGTCTCAGGTTGACACGTCTGTTGGGTTCTTGTCCAGATGCTTCGACGTTGTCTGGGTATGTAATTAGAAGTTAATTGGTGGATGGTGACTAGCAATGAAATGCAGGATATCGCGAATTTCGTCCTATCTGGGACTCGTCAGCTAACTGGATATACCTGCATCCCCCAGTCAGTGAGTGATGATGATGTTCCCACCGAGGCTCGAACTAAGTGCTCATAGTTTTAAACGCCAAATCGTTATCCACTAAACTACTGGGGTCACCAGAGCCACCTTTTGTGCAACGGGTCATATTAATTATTTAATTGAATTTTAGATTTTCCCGTCGATTATTGACTGGACCGAAGTGCTCGGTCTCAGGTTTACATGTCTGTTGGATTCTTTTGCAGATGCTTCGACGATAACTGAGCATGGCGAGTCCCAAATAGGATGAAATTCGCGTTATCCTGTATTCCACTGCTAGTCACCATCCACCAATTAAACGAATAATGTTGTTGTTTTCAATTAGATCTTCAGGCTTTACTCTAATTTACATAGATTTATATATAAAAAATTTTAACCAGTGATAGTGATTTTGTGGATCAAGTAATAATGGTATTCATAATAATGTGGTAAATGTTTTAAACGTCATTAATAACGATGATTATAATGATGACAAAAGTTACCGTAATACTAAGGGTGAAGTGTGTACAGATAATCAGACTTTAAATAAATATCATAAAAGTAAGAAGTTAATGGAAAATAAGAAAGAGCGGAAGTGTTTTGATTAAAATTCACCTAGGCTAAGCAAGGGAGAGACAAAGGTAGAACAAACTTCTTTTGTTGTAGGTAAAGACTAGTACTGTTCTCTCGAATTAGTTACCATAGCTTTGGCTGTGTGTTATAAGAGGCAGGTTCGAATTCCGTTAGAAAGGCTCGATGGAATGCCATAGATAACTTTGAAGGCACTACTTCTGTCCACTTGATGACCGCTATCATAAATCAAATGAGTCAGAGTAGAACTTTTTATACATTCGATTTGGCCTTTTCCGAACCATGAAGGAAGATGCTCATTAATGCATTTGTTAAGCTGTCTAGTTGTTCGTCCTATATAGCTTTCTCCACAGGAGCAACTAAATTTGTAGATACACATAGAAGTGGCACAGCTAAGTAGCTTGCCTTTCGCTTGAGCAATCATAACTGGTTGGCTGAAAAATGACAAACAAAGGGTGACATCAGTATAAGTCCGTTTTATTGCTCGTGATAATCTTAGGTGTAAGACCACTAGCCACGTCTCCATTAAATTTCAACTTTAGAGAAAGTTGTTTCTTTTTAACTACTGTCAGCTTTCCTTTATTATACCTGGTGTTCATGTGCCTTTCTCCTCACAAATCTACTAGGATAACCCATTTGGACCAGCGTATTTGTGATGTATCCTAACTAATTTTCTAGGGAGTCATCTGTACAGATCCGTCTTGCTCTATTCGTTAGACATCTGACCAAATTGATTTTGTATCGGATCGGTACAAAACTGACATCTCTCTTGAGTGAACCATCCTTTCTTCCGCTCAATTGGACATCGAGGAAGTGTAGTCTATTATCATGCTCTTCTTCACAAGTGAAGTTGAGTGATGGATGTGCACCATTAAATTTTATTAACATTTCATTCTTGTCAGCTTTCTCATTAAGAATAATAAACGTATCATCAACATAACGAAAATAAGAAGCCGTTTTATCTATTACTTGTTTCAACGGACCATTTTCAACCTTAGCAAGAAAGAAATCTGCCAAAATTGGCGCCTATGGAGAACCCATTGCAATACCGTCTATTTCTCTGTAATAAAGGTTGTTGAATGTGAATTGTACATTCATTGTACATCTTAGAAGCAACTCTTTCAGACTAATAACTGGATATTGAACTGTTTTTTCTAGTATCTGTTAGCATATGAATTCCACAATCTCCATTAGTGGTACATCGGTGAACAGTGATGCGACATCTAAGGATAGCATTTGCTTTCCATTTACATTGATATCATGTACGTTGGAAATGAATTCAAAGGCACCTCTAACACTATGATTTACCACATTCTTGTGCCACTTCCTGGTAGGTGGAATTAGACATGTCTGTCGGACTGGGCGAAGAGGAAGTTCTGGTTTATATACTTTAGGCAAACCGTACAATGTCTGTCTGTTTTCGACATAGAACTTTACACTGATGTGCGGCAGTTCAAGTCGCCACACTCCATGTAGCACACAAAACAAAAGAAGAAAGTAGAAGAAATGCATAATAGAGACAGTAAACATAGGTATGAGACAAGGGAATAGTAATAAAGAAGAACAATATAGTTTTATTGGAAATCATAAGTCACAAGGAGTGGATGCATCTGCGCTAGGCATTGAGAACGATGAATTTGAGCCATATCACCAATAGTTTCCAACCATTGGTTTTTACCGTCCCAAGGACCCCAACCAGTAAGCCTGTCTACACCTTCCTACATGGCCGGCTTAAACTAACTGTTGTGGATTTCATTGACTGATGAAGCCATCTTTTGGTTTGACCACCAGTGGCTCTTTTCCAACCTGATCGGTCCTATGTCAGCTAATATTGGTCGTCGAGGAAGGCGATGACTAGACATGCATGTGTAACACATTTCGTGGCCATCTCAGTCGATGTAGCTTCACAGCCTCGTCGATTGATTTCCCCTCCCACCTATCTAGCACTCGACCGATGCCTCACCTCAATATTGCTCACCCTGTTATATCACTTCACACGGAGGATAGAACGCAGACACCTATGACCAAAGGCAGTTAATCTTTTCATGTCTTCCACTGTCAATGGCCAGGTCCCACAGCCATAAAGGAGGACGGAGCGGACTGCTGAACAGTACACTCGCCCTTTGGTCGATAGCCGGGATATCACGTCTACGCCAGAGATGGCGTAAACTGGTATATGCGAAAGACCTTACAATCGTGAAGTATTACTTCTAGTGGGTTTATTAGGACAGGTGTAGGCTTTCTCTAAGATTGCTCCACTTTTACTCAACTCCTTAAGCGTATTTGTTAGCTGCTTTTCAGTCTTTCCGTCTAGATCTGTTGGGTTGTTAAGCTTATGGAATTTCGTTTCATCGGTTAAGAAGTGAATTCATTTCGGCAGCGTAATCCCACTTATTCATCAGTACTACTCCGGCTCCTTTATTCATTGAACACTGATGGATAGTACTTTATCCCTATTCATATTTTCTTATTTATTTACAGATCAAACTATCCTCTGAATTAAAATCACAAACACGTATTATCGATGATGAGATCAAACGTTATCGTGATAAATATCGAGATATGATCAAGGCAAAAGATGACTATGAGCGTATTAATGCTGACCAGAGTCATTCACAATTTGATGTTGAGAAGGTAAGTGTAAATCGAAACACTGTGTTATTTTAAAAAAAGGTATTATATCAATTTTGATGTAATTCTTTTTATTGGTTGATTGGACAAAAACTCTAAGTAAGACCCGATTTCAAGTGGTTTAAAGACTCTACAAGAAAAGAGAGAGAAAGACTAATTATCGACAAAAAAACCTAACGTTACTGTATGGGTTTTTTTAAAGTTGTCATTGTCTTACATACATTTATTGGAGTAGGGGGTAACAAAAGGTAAAATAAAGAAATAAATGCATCTACAGAAGTCTTCTGTGTAGCGATAGTGCAGTCGCAGAATACTCGTCAACGATGCGGGGCTCGATTCTTGGACGACAAAAGCCTAACCCTCGCTTAGCTAGCTGGTAATAAGCTCAGTAAAGAAAAGGAAGGTTGGGCATTAAGCTATAGCAACCCCTCATCCCTTGAAAAAAGACTCTACTACTGGTACTCAAAGTTCAAAACTCAAAAAGCCTGAAACCCTATATTCCACTTTCGGACCACAAAGGAATATATGTAAAATGTGAGAAGTCTTCAGATAAGTCTGTTTTCGGTTAGTTTAGGCTTTCTTTAACCCCACCCGCTATTGCATCTGGGTGAACATTGTTTCGGAATATATAGTGCATATCCCAGCCACCTCAAATGTTTTTGTTTTCATTTCTTTGCCTTCTGAATGGAAAATAAGGACCTCAAACTAGCTGTGATGTTTACTTTATGTAGTGGGGTTACTAACACCACGCTCAACCGTCCCTCTCTACAGGGCTTACTGCTGGCTGGTGTAAACTAAGCGAGGTTTAGAAGTTCGTCAGCAAGGAATTGAACCCGGACCACATGTGGCGTGGTTGGCGAGCATTCTACTGAGCATTGAACCACCGACATAGAGACTTCCACCTTAAATAGTTTGAGGTTCTACTACTGTATCACAACTAACTTTCACTAATGACTTACGCTTCTGCAGCAAACCACTGCTGATTTTACTTCATACAGGTGGTGCTTAAAATGTCTTCTGCAGTCAAACAGAGGCAAAGTTAGGCTATTGTTTGAATTTATAGAATTGGCTGATGTAAATAATCGTGGTCGATTCTGACTTTACCATCGAAGGTAGTGTTTAAAGTGTCCTAAATGGCTTTATCAAGTGTTGGTTTGCAGGGATTTGATTGGTTACAGGTATTGATCACGAGCTGACATTAGTTGGTGAACCATTGGAAAACCTAGGAGTACTGAACAGCTGTTACGTCAGCTTAGTTTGGAACTCTTCATCAGTACACACCCACCGCCAGGATTCGTACTCAGAACCTTCCGGTTACGAGGTGAGCACACTCATAGGTCATTCAGCTACTGTGACCTAACCCAATGGTCCATGAATTCTAATTTCTGCGAATTAGTGATATATTTAGTGTAACCGCCATCCAGTGTCACAGGCGAGTAACCGTCCTCTTGCTTGACGTTTTGGATGCAACTGGTTATGAATTCTCACTAGAATCCCGGGTAACTTCTTGTATAAGACCAGTCGATAGTGAGTATCAGATTGATTATCACGTGTTAGGTTGCAGTCTGGCGGTTGCACTAGATATATATTACGAATTGGCAGAAGTTGGAATTCATGTACCGTTGGGTCAAGTCCCAGTGGCTGAATGGTCTGCCGGCTCACCTCGTAACCAGAAGGTCTCGAGTTCGAACCCTGGCGGTGGGTGCGTAATGATGAAGGACGAAACAGCTTTCCCGTATTCCCAAGTTTTCCAAAGGTTCACCGACTAGTGTCAACTGGTGGTCGATCCTGACTAAACTGCTTCGAGGAAATAAATCAGGTATAAAAGAGAAAGGGCTAGTACTCATGAATATGTGTAATCTAGGCTAGAATTGAGGATTAGTTATCTCATATTCAGTTACATTATAAGCTTTGTTTAATTAAAAATCACTCTGCAACGATGATTTTGTTGGTAGATCTATTTCCAAACAATATACCTACAACCGGCTGTCAGAATTGCCTGTGACTGGCGCTAATATTTATTGATTAGATTATAGTTTGCATGATTTAAAACTGATTAGTTTTATAGATGTTTTATTATCCACTGTTAGTCTTATAATGTCTAAAAATCTGTACAGATATTCACCTAATCTCTAGTTTAGTAAACTGTCGATATGTGATTAAAGCCATTCGATTTCCTACTATTGTAATGGGAAGGCTTCGTGTGCCTTTGGAAGTGTGCGGGCGATTGTTACTTCCCACACCGTGGAAGTTGATTAATTCTTCGGGTACCTGAAACAGAGAGAGGGTTAGTGTTGCGTGACCACAGAGCTCAGGGGACAACTGCTTGAGGCCGGTCACACACGGCCTGTATGAATTGGTTTCTGGGATTGGTTCCGTATTAGTAAACCTACCACCGGTTTCGGACCACCGTGGGGTAAGTCGGGATGTACAATTTTATGGGTCGACCTTTTCTAACCCCCTCTCTCCGGAATGGAGAGACAGCATAGCTAGCGTGCTGGTCATCTGAGGGAAACACCTAACTGCTGTTACATTCCTGTTCCCCAGCAGTACAACTTCGCCCTCAGACCCCCAGTATAGTGTAAGAAAAATTCTTACACAATGCCGGTAACTGCTTTTAGTCTAATCGCTATCCTAACAACCTTCCTGGCATGCTAGGACCTTCAGGAACGTTGGTTCCAGCCAGTGTAGCTTGTTGGGTCATCGCGATGTGTAAGCCCGACTAGCACATCAAGGTAGCAGCTATCGGTCGGGATTGTAATGGGAGAAATAAGAGACTTGGTAAGACACTTTTACTAAGGTAAAACATGTTTATTTTTAGCCACAATGAAGTTCAGTTAAGTCAGAGGAAAATATATTATTCTGACAGGTTGACAATTGGTCTAAGGTTAAACATATTGTCCAATGAGGTTATTTCATGTCTACTAAATGCAAACCAAGTCCAGATTTGAGGAGTAAGCACTTCTATCTCTGCAGCCAACCATTGACTTAAGATGTTGGTTTCAATATTTGACTGCTTCTTATCAGTCTGTATCATGCCACCCTATTACTGGTAGACAGAAAACAAGCACTAAAGGAATAATTACGTTTACAGTTCAGGTCAAGAATCGAAACCTCGACGTATGGAAGGAAGAAGTAGTAATTGTTATGCCTATTTTGTTCCATGTCTAGTCTGTTTTGTAAGATTTGTTCTTTACTGTCCGACTTCAGTCAAGCGGACAAGTATTTAACTTCTTTCTGCTCTACATTATCACAATTTTCTGCTTTTACTGTTCAGCCTTTTATTCTCAATTTGTCACATCTCTGATATCAGGCATAATTTATATCCTTATTTACCAAAAAGACTAACTTGTGTAAAAGTCATTATTATTATTCCCTTGGGTTCAGAGTGAGACGTACGGCTTAAACAGAAAATCTCCGCTTTTTCCTATTTCCTGTGCTCCTCTTTAGCTGACCCACGATCCCCCATAGTCTCTTATCTCCTCTCACACTGTCTCCTCCATATCACCGGTGAACCTACGCTCAACTCGTCGGTTGCCATTCAGGTCCCAGTCGAGCTATGACCTGACGTGTGATCTCACCAGACGGTCTCCTCAGCATGTATCTGACCCATCTCCATTTTCTTCCGAATATGTGGTTGATTTGCTCCCAGAGTTTCTTGTTTCTGATTTTTTCTGATTGGTCATCTGACTGTCAATATGGAGTTAGCTAGGGCAGCTGTTGATAAAAGTCTGCTCTCTCTCTATACTGTTTTCGACATAGAACTTTGCACCGATGTGCAGCAGTTCAAGTCGCCACACTCCATGTTGCACACAAACCAAAAGAAGAAAGTAGAAGAAATGCATAATAGAGACAGTAAACAGAGGTGTGAGACAAAGGAATAGTAATAACAAAGAACAATATAGTTTCATTGGAAATCATAAGTCACAAGGAGTGGATGCATCTGGGTCAGTCATCGAGAAAAATGAGTTTGAGCCATATCACCAATTGTCTCCAGCCATTGGTTTTTACCGTCCCGAGGACCCCAACCAGTAAGCCTGTCTACACCTTCCTACATGGCCGGCTTAAACTAACTGTTGTAGATTTCATTGACTGGTGCCATGTTTTGTTTTGACCACCGCTAGCTCTTTTCCAGCCTGACCCTACATCCGCTAAAATTGCTCGTCGAGGAAGGCGATGACTAGGCATACGTAACACATGTCCTAACCATCTCAGTCGATGTAAATTCACAACCTCATCGATTGATTTCCCCTGCTTACGTAGAACTCGACGCCTAACCTCAATATTGCTCACCAATATTATACCACTTCACACGGGAGATAGAGCGCAGCCATCTATGATCAAAGATCAAGTCTGCAGTAACCTGTTAGAAATGTTTTTCGTAACGCGCCATCTTATTTATTTTAGCAAGTTAACTGTTATTTAAACGCACTATTATATGTATATCTATGTACATATTGCTTTATCAACCCCAAAATAACTGATTTAACTTTATGCCTGTGTCCTTATCGAAATTGAACTCCATGGAGTTATTATTATTATTTTTTGATTCAATCAGCTTTCTTTTTGTCCTACTTAATCATGAATAACTACTACTATTACTGTTGTGGGTGTAAAACTTAGTTGTCTAACCAAAGGATAGAATGGGAAACTTGGATATTGGGATGAGAGAAAAAAAGCAAATTATTATTATTATTGCTGGGTGTTTCAACATAAACAACACATACTATTTGTTCCGTAATATTTTCGCTTAAATATTTACCGATAAACATGACTCATCTTCAGCAGCTTATGTAGCGTAGCAGTTAAAGTCATTTATATACATAATATTCTGACCTTTCAATCATTTTTTTTATTTTGCATTTTATGCATACGTGTGCGCGTGTTATTGTACACGTGTTTGTTTTGGAGATTAGGGAGGAAAAATAGGCACCCGTCGATTTCACGCCTCACCAATGCTATTAGTCAGCGAAACATTTTTTTGAAAAAAAAGTACTGAAAAA